GGGGGGGTTGTCTACTGAAAACTCTGTTTGAGAGAGAGTGTGTAGTGTGAAAAGAGAAAAAAAGGAGGAAAGGAAAAGAAAAAGGAAAAAGAAAGTGGAAGGAGAAAAAGGGAAAGAAAGTTTGGAATATTAGGGTTTTTATGAATTAGTTTAAGTTAGAATTTGAGGGGTGAAAGGGGAAAGAAGGTTGTTTGGAATTTTAGGGGTCATTTGGTATGCGAATAAAATTATCTGGGAATTATAATCCTGGAATTATAATTCCTAAATTAATTTATCCTACCTGAAAGGTAAGATAAAATAATTTCAAATTTGATGTGATAAGGTGGGATAAGATATTCATAATTAAGTGTGAGATTAAATATATATTATATTTGATTGACGATATAAATTTATCCCACGATAAATTGGGATAAATTTATATCGTCAATCAAATACAATATAAATTTAATATCATACCTTATCCTACTTTGTCTCGCTTTATCATGATCAAAGAACCCTTAGGATTTTATGAATAAGTATAAATAATTAGAAGTTTCGATTTTGAGCTCTAAAAATAAAAAACTTTCTCATAGGAGTCTTTCTTCCGGGAATGGGTCTTATGCGAATTTGGGTTTAGTCGGATTACTGTGTTTTTGACACTTGATGTATAAATATTGGAATTTTTACATTCCTATTCCATATAGGAAACTATATTACCCTCAATGTTTAAGGTTTGATTTAATTACATTTAGTATACCTAATTACCAATTTAATACCATAATGTGTTTTAACTGTACAATTAATGTACCGTATATCACTCCTTAATTAACGATATCGTATATTTCTCCAAATCTCCCACCCCCCACCCCCCATTTCTCTCTCTCAAACCCACACTCATACCCACATATCTCCCCACAGCCACGCTTCAAACCCATTATTCCCTCTGCTAAACTCAGAGAAACATATGTAACACCCTTTCATTAACGTCCAATTTCAAGCTTTTTTATTCTAAAATCAGTCAAAATTGAAGTCAAATCTTCAAAGTTCATACACACATTTACCTTCAGCTTCAAATTTTCTCAATGAAGAAGAACAAACCCTTAAAGAGACAAGAGAGCAGCAATTCCACAATTGACAGCCATTAAAAAGCTTTGAAGCTTTGAATTCAAATTTGGGTTGTCAAAATTCATTATTTGTTTTGATTGGGTGTTGTTGTAAATAATTGGGAATATGTTTTGGAGTTTATATCTCAATTTTGAAGGGTTTTGGTGAAGATTTAGACTTGGTTTTGGCTGAATTTCAGAAGAAGAAGAAGAAGAAGAAGAAGAAGAAGAAGAAGAAGAAGAAGAAGAAGAAGAAGAAGAAGAGGAAGAAGAAGAAGAAGAAGAAGAAGAAGAAGAAGAAGAAGAAGAAGAAGACATGATATACATTATATTGCAGCAATTATAGATAAATTATAGACTGTTTTTTGCAGAAGATTTGTAGAAGTTTTAGTCGTTTTTTATTTGTGTAAACAGAAAACAAAGCATCTACAATCAGAATACAAATAATCTACAATTTATCTACAAAATATCTACAAACTGGATACATTGAATTTTAATATCCCAATTCTCATTCAATTGTAAGTTAATTGGTATTTTCGACATAATTGCATTTTTTGCAGAAGATTTGTAAAAGTTTTGGTTATTTTTGATTTGTGAAAACAGAAAACAAAGCATCTACAATCAGAATACAAATAATCTACAATTTATCTACAAAATATCTACAAACTGGGTACATTGAATTTTAATATCCCAATTCCCATTCGATTGTAGCTTAATTGGTATTTTCGACATAATATCTTTTTTTGCAAAAGATTTTGTAGAAGTTTTAGTCGTTTTGGATTTGTAAAAACAGAAAATAATGCATCTAAAATCAGAATACAAATAATCTACAATTCATCTACAAAATATCTACAAACTGGGTATATTGAATTTTAATATCCCGATTTCCATTCGATTGTAGTTTAATTGGGATTTTCGACATAATTGTGTTTTTTCAGAAGATTTGTAGAAGTTTTAGCCGTTTTTATTTGTGAAAACAGAAAATAAAGCATCTACAATCAGAATACAAATAATCTACAATTTATCTACAAAATATCTACAAACTGGGTACATATTTGGAATCGACATGCTTCCCCTGAAATGTATGTTTCACATTTTTTATACATATTTTTGTCCAAAACAGTACTAAATCATCCACTTTAATACAATTTTTATACAATGTTGTTCAACTTTCATACAATAGGTAAATGAATAAAAGATAAATAAATAAACAACAGCCTGCAATTTTTCTACAATTTCTGCAATATGTCTTCTTCTTCTTCGAGTTTCAATTTGAAATTCAGTCAAAACCAAGTCTAATCTTCACCAAAACTCCTCAAAATTGAGATATGAACTCCAAACTATATTCCCGATTATTTTCAACAACACTCAATCCAAACAAATAATGATTTTTGAAAACCCAAATTTGAATTCAAAACTTTCAAGCTTTTTAATGGCTGCCAATGGTGGAATTGCTGCTCTCTTTTCATTTGCTTTGTATTACTGAAATTTGCGATTGAGAAATAGAGAGAGATGTAGAGAGAATTTCTGGAAACAGAGTGTATTGCAAAAACAGAGTATGAAAAATCTTGTTCTGCGTTGTGGAAGATCAGAGTGAAGCCGACGATAATTATGGAATGTGCGTGATTTGCGTTGAGGAAGATCTGGAAAATATTTAATTCCCCTTTTTTAGCGCGCAAAATAAGGAATCATAAAGCTACATTGATTCATTATTTAATGCATTGTATATATTAGGTAGAAATACTATTAGCATGAAGGGTAATAAGCAAACTATGAACATATTTGGTAATATAGTTTCATATATGGTATATATACGAAAAACCTCTAAAATATTTGTATAGCTAGGTCACTTATAAGGTAACTATAATTAAATTTTTCATAAATATTAATTACTAACCTAATAAAATAATAACTAACATATTATCATAAATCAAACTATATTAAAAATACAAAAAAAAAAATTGTCATAACTAGTGCATATAACTTAAATCCTTAGAGAAGTCGTCTTGACTTTATATTTTAGGAAAACTTCATGGCACTGTCTTGAAATTCGAAAGGAGGCAGTTCAAGCTCCATGAATTTTTCCAAGGGTTTGAATTGCATATTTCGAACTCCTCGCATATAGAAGTTTTGAACACCAGACACACTATGCTGGAATTTTTCTGCGTTTTAGCTATAAGTATTTTTGTCCAAACTTTATTTTCGCATCTAAAAAAAACTAAAAGTTGAATAGTTTTGAAAAGGTGGTTAAATATTACGTAATTAGCAATTTGAAAAGTGGCTATTTACCTAATGCTTCCTGTCTAATCGCATGTATTTCATAGTGCTAATTCCTCTTTGTCTATTCAACTAGGTATTGTCTTTGAAATTTTTGCTCCTTGAACCACTGTTAATAATGTAAAATGTTTTTCATACTTTTCTAAATCATTTCGAGGTGACAGTTTTAAGAATTGTCACAACATAACATACCTCCAAATCATTGAATAAATAAACCAAAACAAGCTTCATTAAGAAAACACAGAGTTGCCATTGTGATAATCCATAGATGATTCAACGAATAGGATAAATTTCAATTAATGGAAGGTTAAATTTGCTCAGTAAACATATAAGATAAGAAAGAAAAATGATGGGAAGAAATTGTGGCTGCAGCACCAAATTACTAACACCAGCTTCTAATTCATTTCCAGGAACCCGACAAAATACAGTAATTTGTGTGGGAAAATATATCAAACAAACCAACAACAATAGAAACATAAAGGACTACGCCAGTTTTAACCAAAGGCTTCTTCTTAGTCCTCATAAAGAACTCACCACAACAAAAAATTTAAAAAATAATCAAGCTCGGCCTCAATCCCAAACTAGTAGGGGTCAGCAAAGGGACGAAACACGAGAACTCTCCAAAGGTTATCCATCCTAGTACTATACTCGCCCAAGCACATTTAAAGTATAGAATCTGGTGCGTAAGTGCCGGTATGATTGCATCCTTCGAACAGATTACATTTACACTGGGCATCAATCTACAACAGCCTCAAACTCACATAAGCTGTTTTATCTTAGCACCTTATCTCATATGAACCAGCTTTAGTTATGTAACGAACCCATTCAACTGTGTTGTAGCCACTCTTCTCCCACACCTGCACAGAGCTAACCACATGAAGCTGAATTTCATACCAAAGAAAAGCACTATTGAATTGTAATTTTGCCAAACATACCTTGAGAAACCGAACACGCAATCCAGATGCTGTAAACATGGGAACCTGCATCGAACAAGGAACTGGTAAAGAATACTAGCGCCAAATAAACCACAATAAAACATGTTATCATGCCAAAATTACAAACTGCAGAGGAACACAATTGTCATGTGGTAGGGCAAATATGTACCTGAAATTCCATCTGAATTGGCGGCCGAGTCAAGGACTTCTTCTCTGTAATTGTCGAAATTAACTCAACCTCAGCACTCAATGTTGACTCAGTTTGCCCCGGAAATTTTCTTATTCTGCACCACATTGCCCATATATTGAAAATTCTACTCTCGGAAAAACTAGATTTAATGCAGAAGAATGCAGCAAAAACAGATAAGTGACTACTGACAAAAATAGAACATGATCATTGTATAATTAAGTTGTATTAACAACAAACTCCTCGATCCAGAGAAAAATGAAAGTAAACACACTTGTATGCTTTACTACAACAACAACAACAACCCAGTATAATCCCACTTAGTGGGGTCTGGGGAGGGTAGTGTGTACGCAGACCTTACCCCTACCCTAGGGTAGAGAGACTGTTTCCAAATAGACCCCCGGCATCCTTCCCTCCAAGAACTTCCCACCTTGCTCTTGGGGAGACTCGAACTCACAACCTCTCGGTTGGAAGTGGTTGCTTACCACTTGTATGCTTTACTACGAACTAGAAACCTGAAGTAGTATATATATGAAATATAAACATAACATAGAAGAAAGAATCCGGAAGGAAAAAGAGACGCAGGAATTTTCAAAATTGAGCCATCTATTACTATATACATCCAGGACCTAGTGAAATGATCCTCCTTTCGCCAGATTATCTGATGTTACACACAACTGATCTTAGGTTAATTCAATTCCTCCAATTAGTCCCAATAGGACGAGAAGTGTGAAAATTGGCTTCTCCTACTCTCCCTCAAGAGCACATGAAGTTGTCGGAGGCAAGCAACTCATGCAAAGAAAATACCATATTGTTCTTAATAGAGATGAGTATCGTACATGAGTGTAAGGTTTTCTACATTCAACATAAACAAATTTACTAAGATGAAACTGTATGCACTATGCAATTCTAGTTGCTACAAAGAAAGCATCCATAGGAATACATGTGTAAATACCTGTGATAGCATGTGCACACAGACACTATGCATGTGTAAATACCGGTACATGTGATAGGCACACCCTAAGCTAATGGTTCGGCAACAAATAATTCAATTGCTCCAGGTTGAACAAAATGGAGCAGTGTGAACCGTGCATTATTATCTAGAGATGAAGAATTAGGAAAACAAGCTCCTTAATTGTGTAGTCATTTTCAAAAACAATAAAACAGTGAAAAACAAAGAGATTAGATGTGGAAACTCACAGATTAATATGGTCGAGAAATATCTTCCCGTCCACATAATTGTTATTTCTGTTTTTTAGTTAATTTTCTTGCATTATACATACACAAACATGCACTAGCTTTCTCATTTTCTCCTTTCTTTGCTAAGGCCCGCACTTTAATTGTGCTTTGTCCTATAAGTCCTAGCAAAATTTGGCGCTTCTCTGTGCTTTTAGTTTTGAGTTTTGACAACACCAAGTAGCAGATAGTAATAAAAACAGATTTTTTTATCGGTTAGTAATTAGAAACAGATCTGTAAAGTTTAATTAAGTGAATATGAATGTTGCTAGGATGATCCAAGAAATTCTGCTGGTGGGAGAATTTGAAGTGATGAAAGAGCTGTGAATTTCTATGCATAGTTCGGTTGAAGGACTGCACAAGTCAAAATGATTTCATTAATAACCCAACACGGTGATGCCACAAATATAGACAATATGAGCATGTAGGCTATTTTCACCTAACCCTACGCGATTATGTATATAAAGTGTATCCTCTTTACACCAAAGGCATAAGAGAACAAACTCTTCATGTTTCTTAGTTTTATTTTTTCCAGTCCATTGAAATATCCTTCAATTCCTTTCCTTCCATTCCTTTTTTCCAAGTCACAATTCCTTTCATTGGAAATTGACAAAAATGACATGCTGGCCAAATCTGAAGCTCCATCTCGGGGATTTTCCAGAAGCAACTAAACAACTATGTTGATCACCGAGCAGACAAGTATATTGAGATTGACTCCTGATTCCATAAACACCAGCTCAAATAATAAACAATTATGGCTAGACACAATAGCATCTGTGAGAACATCTATAGCAACTTAAGAAAGTATAAGGTTCAGGCCTCCAGGACTTTGGCCTAGTGGTATGAGCACACCTTGTGATGTGTGGTTTAGGCGAACGACACAGGTTCGATCCGTGCTGCAGACCTAGTATTCAAGTGGAGAAGGTAGAAGGGCGGGCCCATTATCCACCGAGTTTCAAACCGTGCGACACTGGCCCTCAGAAGTTTCTTGGTTACAACACAAAAGTAAGCAATTCAGGCCACTCAGCCATGCAAAAGGCAAGCCAATCAAGTCAGATGTGCTAGAAGATGAAGGGTTTACCAGAATCTACAGAAAACCTGTACACAAAATATTATCCCAGTTTCTATACAAGGAAGACAAATCCAAATTGGCTCATTTAGATATTTTCACAATAAATTGATTCATTTGTAATGGAGTACATCCTTAAAACGATTTTTAATTGACTAACAGAGTTGTCCTTCCTTTTTAGTGTCTGATACACTTTACTTTAGAAACCCCTTCGATCCCCCATTTCTTGAGGAGGTAAGGAATGCCGAAACCTCCATATAAATTTTATTTGCTAGTGATAAAGAGGAGGATTCCATTAATAAAAAAAACCAAAGAAATCAAGCTTTTTAATTGAAGATACAAACAGATTAATTGCGTTTCAATAGTATATGTCAAATTTGCTAAGGCATCTGGTCTAAATGTGAGTCAAACGAAAAAGAATGCTTCATGATAAAAGTTTGACCACATCTTCAAGAAATAAATCAAATGGAGGTAAAAATTTATGCCAACCATGATTAAGCCATCGAATACTCACTTCCACACCAAACAGTCAATGGCTGGATTATACTTTGCTCTCCCTGATGTCACCTGGAAGCTTGTTTTTGCAGTTTGCTTTGGCACAGGAATTTTAATGACAACTCCCAGAGCAAACATTTTTGCACCAAACACACTCTTAACCTGAAAAACAACACAAGTTTGGCAACAGTAAATCAAATAAGACAGATGCTTCAAATTGAAATACATTCCATGTCAAACCTTAACATTCACTTCCATACGTGTACGACCTAATTCCTTGATAGTTGGTAATACCCGGAAAGGAAGATTTACTCCTTCAGTAATACGGTACCTGAATATAAACAAATTTCAGGTGTTATTATATAAGATTATGGCCATGATTATGAGTATAATCTGTAACTACTTCAAAATCAAGGTGCCTACATATTTTGAGCTTAAAGGCCCAGACCCAATCTTTATAGACTGGTCATCACTTTCCAAGTGATCAAAAATATGTAGATGATATATCTAGCCCCCCGAGTTGAAACTTGCTCATCACTTCAAAAGATTACAGTATTTCAATTTCAATTGCTCAAAGATATAAAGGATTTTTTTTCATGTACTTCTCTCAAATTGAATATTCTGTTAGAACTTTCAAGCTGTTTATATAATACTTTTAATTTTCCCACAACTTATTTAGAGTTTGGAACGCAAATGATTACTTACGAGTGGCAACATGAACAGACTGGCAGCAATAGGAGGAGAAAGAATACTTTTGATTTGTTGGGATACTGGAATGTAGATAATAGAACCCATCAAGTTCTTCATTGCATAAAATTAGAAGTAAATATTCCATTTAAGGGAGAAAAAGACATTAATTTGAAACACCCAATAATAGAAACCATTCAGTTTTAAACAAAATAGCAGTTGGAGTTTCAATTACCTTGGTAATAGCAAAAGAAGATACTAAATGCACTTTAAAATCTCTGAGTTTATACTTCGCAGTGAAAGATCAAATCATAATTCAAACTTAAATTCTTCGCAGTTGTGAAAGGTATATAATATTGACTTTTGTAGGATGCTTAAAATATTCTACAAGGTCTAAAAAGGAAATTTGTTATAAAATAATAAAAGGGGAAGGAGTGATATAGAGAGAGAATTGTAGAGATTCTGATTATCAAGAATATTGATGCATTGGGGTGAGGAAGCCTCCTATTTATAGGAGAAGAAAGCCTTGTTCTAGAAAACAGTGCCAACTTTTACGGAAAGAATTCAAGCTACCATATAATATCTTTCCTTCTTGGAAACTTTTCTTTCCTGCGGGCTGGTGGATTAGTCATGATGCTCACAAACTGGCTGGGACACCACCGTTATTAAGAAAAACAATATTAATAATAATAACAATAACGGACTCCTTACCACGACATACTGAAAACAATTTCTGGGACAGACATACTTGATAGTTGTGCTGCCTTAATTATTGTACTATTAATCTAATTTGACATTGAGCAACTTTTCAAGGACGTTCAGAATTTTACTACTAGAACAAATGAAGAACAGTAGTTAAGCCTTCTGGTTTGAGAAGAGAACAAAAAATAGAGCCCAAAACAACGATGAACAGAAGGAAGTACAAACTTACTTCATCAATTCAAATTCACCATCAGGCGGCACAAAGCTGACAGTCTTTTCTGAGTTGAATCTTGTCAAATTTACACACTGGTGGAAAGTAACGTCATCAAGCTCAATCGTTTTGCCGCTGCACGGGGCGGGGCAGAGAAATATACCATGTTAAAAACAGAAATAACTATCTAAACATGCAGCTGCTGAAACTAATATGGAGTCCATACAGCTAGATAATCACAAAGTCTGAAGACAGTTAGCATTATGAAACTGCAGAAAATGGAGAAACAACTGAAAGAAGCAGAATGGCACGAAGTGAACTGTTATCTTCACTCTTTAAGGTTATAAGGTTAACTGATATCAGGTAACCGTTGAAAATTTACAAACACATACTCAAAGGCACCTGCAAAAATAGATGCTCTATACTTGTAATGTCCTATAATCCAGAACATCTGAATTGTGTTCCAATGGAAATCCCACTTTCCTGTAATGCTATAGAACTGACAAATTCTCAGGCAATTCCTATTACTACGTCTATATACTATAGCTTTCAAATCTTAGGAATCGTGAAACAGTTAAATGTAAAAAGAAGCACATTTTACAAGTAGTAGAAGCCTCTTTCTTCCATTCAAAAGCATTTTACGACTCTTTTCTAAAATATTCAAGAGGATACCATAACATTCGGTGTAGGTTAGGTAATGTATATCTCACCTATAAAGATACATTACCAATCTCATAATACACGATTATTACTCAGAAGCAAAATGCTGAACCTCTAAACCTACTGTCAGTGGACGATGCACGGACCTACCAGTTTCAGAAGGTTGCTAGTAATTCTCTAAAACTACTAATCCCTCGTTCCATTTTTTAGCATAAATGTTCTTCCACAACGAAGTGCAATGATAGGGAAAGATAATGTTCAATTTTTTCCTGTTTGAGGAGATCAAGTTTAGACTTTGAAGAACTAAAAGAATCAAAAGAAATGGAAAGAGTATAGTAACCTAGAGTTCACAAACATTCAAGTGACATTTCCTGAAACAACTAGCTCAACAAGGTATGTCAAACTGACATAATCACAAAGGATGAAACACACGATTATGCAGACACTACCTCTTAGCAGGACGGGACTTGAGCTGTGACTCTTTCTCAAGACCAATTTTATCATTTAATCCCAACTTCAGATCAGGCATTCCAGAAAGGAAGCATTTCATGAGAATTTTCCCAGTTACATCACAACGGAGGACGCTACCTGCAATTGTAATACATTAATCGAGAACCAAAAATGGGAAGGAAAAAAGCATCCACCAAAACTACAAAACTTTATACCTTTTGAAGACATAAGGAGATTAACACTTTCCACAATATCCAGAAACACCTGTTGAATATATAAAGTTTCATCAGAAACCCAGGTATACTTGGGAAGATAAACGATCTAAGAGATTAAGAAAGATAGCAAGTAAACCACCTCATTCTTCTTATAATGAAGACCCTCCCTGCGCCAACCAACCGCACCAGTAACTTGTAATGTTGCATTTGGAACTGGCTTATCTACATGCTGCAGGATTGTGTGCAATTGTGAAGGGAGAAAGTGAAAGATATTATACTCAAAATTCCTCGTTTATCTCATTGCCGCGATATATCTCAAGAATGAATTTTATAAATGTAAATCAAGCAGAAAGATCAATCTCAATCTACTTTTCAAACCACTTTGGTCATAATATGGAAGCAAGCACGTAAAATAACTAACCTTGGATGAGAAGGATGACCGAACACCTTCCTGAGTAATATAGAGTTTCAAGATTTCAGGTGAAAGATTTTGAGGGTAACCGAAGTCCATAATTTCTGTGTTTTTATACAAATAAAGAAAAAAATCAATTACTATTATACACATAAAAGGTTACTTCATAAAAAAAGGCTTTTGCTTGTCAAACCCAGATAAAAAAATGTCAGAAACTAAATAATCTATGAAAAGCTTACCGTCCAATAGCTCATAAATCAAAACAAAATTATTACGAATGGCATCTTCATCAAAGGCACCACCAAAATATGATTTGAATAATGTAACAGCCTGCGAGAGAATTGGAGATTGCAGTTCTATTAATCTTGTGGTAAAACCGAATCATTTACAGAACAACAAACAGAAAAACACATTTAGGCAATAAAGTCATGGTTATGCCATTATGTTTCTAACCTCCATTTCTTATGGGGTACCAGAAATGCCCCTTTATAAGACAGATTGTATTAGTACATTTAAGGGAAGGTCCACAAATTCTATATAACTAAAGCATTGGAAACTATATCGGTACCGGAATGCTTCTTATCCATAAGACAAATACATTTTTTGATAAGGTAAAAAAAATTTAATAATGGGTTACAAGCAGTATACCAAGAAGTAGAGAATCTACAACATAATATGATTTTCTATGAATAACACCAAATCCTCTATACGAACTGGAACTCTAAAAGCTCTTATATATCTCTCCTTCCACAAGACCCAAATGAGTGCCAATGGCACAAGTTCCACGCTCTCAGAATTCTCCTTCTAAAAGTCCATCTAGCAAGTGCATCCTTTACTGTGCTCATTGCATCCTGAAGCATCTCAACATCTCACAGCACGGGCGAGTATCCACTTGACAATGTAGGAGGAGGAGATCAACATCTTCACCAGAACATATGCACATAAAACACTAACAAACATATGCAATCCTCCTTTTACAAAAAAAATCAGCACTCAGGATTGCTCCTCACACTGCCAATTAAAAAAGCACACCTTTCTTGGTGTCCTGGGAATCCCAAACTGATAATTGCAGAAAACTCGATTCTTCCCTCACTAAGAGCTTATGATAATACGACTTCAGTGAAGACAATTCATCGCTTCCTGCTCTTCATCTCCATTGAATAATGTGTGATGTACTTAGCTTGTAAAGCATTTCAACTATACCTTGGAATTCATCAGCCTCCCAGCGTTGAAGGCTCCTCCTAACCTTTATAACCCATGAATTCCTCCCCCNGCAAATGTTCAGGAATGTGAGTTTCAAATCTCTTCTCTACACCACCTGTGACTCCAAAAGCTGATTTTACTGCCATACCCAACCTTGAAATTTATGTTGCTGATGTAATCTTCCATCCCTACATAATATTCCTCCAAAGTCCACACTCAAAAGAAGTTTTTAGTCCTCCATCCCCATTCCGCCACTCCATACTTTTCCACTATCACCTCCCTCCATAGAGAATCTCCATAACTAATACCCTTAGAGACTTTTTGAAAACTAAGCGATGTTTCACCCTAGACCCCCAGTCCCCAAATTCCTTAGGAGACATAACATCCTCCCACCTTACTAAGCGGAACTTCCTCTCCCCATTTGTTGAATCCCACAGAAAGTTCCTATGAAACCTTCGTAGTTTACCTATGATATTGGCTAGTGCATTAAGCAAAGACATGAAGTACGTAAGAATGCTCGACATAGTGCTCTTAATTTGGTACTTCTTTCTCCCCTTTGGACAGGTACCTCTTTTGTCGGCCTGCTAGCCTTTCCTCAACTATCTCAATCACTGAGTTCCATACTGTTTAGTCTTTGTTGGGCGTACCCAGAGGTAAATTGAGATAAGCAGTTGGAAGAGCTCCAACCCCGCAATTGAGCAGTCGTGCTAGATCTTCAATATTGCCACATCACCTACCAAAATGATCTCACACTTCCTAACGTTACCTGGAACCACATAAGAATCTACCTCAGATAACTCGGCCGGTTTATGTCTGTATCACAGAACTAAAGTGATGTCTACTTCTCGTTATGGAACCTCACTGTGTGTTGCCCCTCAAGAAACCATCTCCCACTTCTCTATCCATCATTCTACCCAAGGCTTCCATTACCTGAATGAAAAGCATGAGAGGTAACGGATCCCCTCAAGCTACCCAAAAACCACACAGGCTGCCATTCACTAAGATTAAAAATCTGACCATGTGGATATGCAGAACTTGATCCCATAAGACAGATATATAAAACAGCTCATTTGAAAAGGTTTCTTTTTAATAGCAGCCAAAGGCTATTATTTGTCACTTTAGTGAACCTAAAAGAAAAGATAGCACAACTCAACTAGGAATGGAATTAGTAGCCGAAAAAAAATTAAAAAAAGGAGGGGTGGGGGGTGGAGGAATAGAAAACTACTCCAACCATATTACGCAACAAAATACTTCCCGTCTGCATCTTAACAACAAAAACCGGATGTTCAGAGAGCAATAATGTACCTTCTCC